AGTACTTAGGGAAGGTGATATTTAAAGGAATGGCATATAGATCTCTGCTGTGAATTAACGGTAGCACGTTCTGATGGAAGAGTACAGCACAAACATAGTAATGGAATATGCTAGCCAATGCAATGCTTTGTCCTTGTTCTATAGTTATAAGCTATAATACTTTTCAATTTGTCGAGAAATCATCCATGTGATATAAAAGCTGCACTAAACTTGTCATCTCCAAAATTAAGAAACTAAGTTATCTGGCTGCATTTAAAAGACACATACAATGCTCAGCAATATTTAATTTCATCGGCTTGTTTCCGTTTGTAGGGAAAGTGATATTGCACATATCAATTCCCTTAAAAGCTCTTTATTTAATCAGGTTACAGGCAATTTGCATTTAGGCCTGGAAAAAACACAAGTGGCTGCAGTTATTTGCTTTTACATTTTTCCAGTTATTTGTCAATTGACTCCTTTTTTTGTTATTTTTAAGATGTAATTTAAGGGGGGGGGGGGGGGAATTATATTGAATTGCCAATAAATGTATAGCAAGTAATGCCGACCATTGCCAAACTGATTAATCTTGTAAATGCAGAATCCAGCGAAACTCTACAAATCTTTCTCCTCTAATTCCAGAATCACAACACTGACGGCGCTGTCACAGTCACCAACAGGGAACAAAAACCCCAGAATTTGCGATTCAACAATTTTCATGAACAAGGGTAGTCATGCGGCTAAAGGTTCTTCTCGCTCGTGATACGTGTGGAGATGACAGTACAATCTTGATTTGAAGCTTTCGTGACTGCAGGAATCCATACTCTTTGGTTCTTTCGGTAAAGTCACGTAGGTAGAAAAAATAAAAGATCACGACGTTTCGATCGCAACGCAAGCAATCGTCTTCAGGTGGAAGAAAGAGGGAAGCTGCTGATGCAGGCTGCTTTTAAAGGTGGGCGTAGACCCAGAATCATAAACGAAGTAGGGATGTTAAAGTGAGAAATTTGCATGTAAATTTACTGTGTAAATGTGATTAGCATGTCAATGTAAGCTCGCAGCGCGCCGTCACATCGAGGACTGCATGTAAACGTAAGAACGGAGAAATGTGCATGCAAATGTACTGTGTAAACATTACATTAACTAACACAGCCACCGTCGTTTGCTTGCTCCGAAGTGGCTCTGGTTCTTTCCGAGCTTTTTCCAATTTTTAGATGCACATTTCTCACTTTAACATCACTAGCCCTCCCTCCCCCCCACGTCGTTTATGACTCTGGTGCTACTCCCATCTCTAACCTTTAAAAGCAGCCTGCATCAGCAACTTCCCTCTTTCTTCTGCCTGATGACGATTGCTTGCGTTGCGATCGAAACGTTGTGATCTATTATTTTTTATACCTACGTGACTTTACCGAATGAACCAAAGAGTATGATGACAGTACAGTATATAATACTCTATGTAGATATAAGTACTATATACTTATATAACAATGTAGCAGGGCAAGCATTTATGTACAAAGATGTCCAGCCCAGTGCAGTTGTGCCCACATGAGCATGCTCTCAATGCCAGGGAATTGGCGCCTCTCAAAGACTTCAGTGTTGGGGATGCTGTCCAGCCACTTAATGTTGCAGATGGATTTTAGGCAGCTAAGGTGAAAGCTCACTAGCTATTTGATGTGTTGTCAGTTATGTGTCCATGTCTCATAGCCATAGAGAACTGAGGTGAGTACAACTGCGTGGATCAGAGGCAGACACCACGCTCTCTACAGAGCCTGTGGGTGAGCCTGCCAAATGCCACCTTCTGCCACATAATGAGTGGTCTCGTCATCCATCACAACACTGATGGGTCACTTGCTACCCGAATAGCATGAATTCCTCACGAGGTTGAGAGGTGTATTGTCAAATATGATGGGGAGATCACAGTACTCGGAATAATGATGATTTGGTGCTGTCTAACCTCAGTCTTTTTCAGGCTGATTGTCAGACCGAAGCATTTTGAGGTATCCACAATTTTCTGGACGTCTTCTTCGTGTGTGTGTGAAATGAGGGCACAACCATCAGCGAACTGAATCTCTCTTAGTAACTGTTCGATAATCTTAGTGTGGACCCTAAGTCGCTGTAGATTGAATAGATCATTATCCAATCTAAACCGTATGTGTATGCCTCTATATTTATACATACGAGCGTATGTATGTAAACACGTGTATATAGAACCCGTCCTGGGCTTCCCCTAGGTAAACTCAGTCTTAAATGAGTACCTGGTGCAGCTTATAAACATCGCCACTGGGGAGAGAAAGGTGGCCGGGCGTGGTGTTGGCCACCCACCCACTCGTGTGCCGTGCCGGCCTTCATAGGTGCTCGCTAACAGCACTTGCCCCAACAATATGTTCAGTCTATATAGGGGATATTTGTCTTTGTATAGATACACATACCTGTATATGATTCTATATATCTTCATATGCCCCTTCTATATTAATACATGGAACCAACTAAAAAAAGGGCATGACTAAAAATTTTCGACATTTTATGCAACACATTACTTGTGAATTTTAGGAGTTATTATCATGGTGAGTTGCGTGTTAGAGGATCTGCGAAGAGTGCCCCCGACATCGAAGCGTAATTTTGGAGTTAAAAACGTACATAGTGTGACTACTAATAATGTATAATACTCTAATAGAGATACAGTAGAAATGATAGTGGCATATTATGTGGAATCACCGAAAATAAATAGCATTACAAGACATTTTTTATGACACACAAGTCATACTTTGTGCCAATGTAAAGTTTCATGTTCACCATGAACCTATTTATCTAACACACAGATGCATGTATACACACAACAAAGACAAAGATCCCCCGTATTGCCCAAACAGACTGTCGGTGGAAGTGCTGTTAGTGAGCAGCGCCTAGGAAAGCCGTCACGGCACACGAGCGGGTGGGTGGTCAACACCATGCTTGGCCACCTTCATCTCCCCAGTGCTGATGTTTACACACAGCACTAGATGCTCACATAAGACTGAGCTGACCTAGGGGAAGGTCAGAACTGGTTCAAATATTCGCCACGGTTTTGGTCATGGGCGAGAATCGAACTTGGATCACTTAGTTCGTTGCACAGCGCGATTAACAACTGCGCCACCACTGCCTACACGCATATACGCACACACATAAACAATCACACTCAAGGACACAATTAATCAATGTTGTGATAAACCAAGTTTCATATTTCATCTCTGTGTAATATGACATGCTTCACACAGTAAAATATAGCTATGTACTAATACATTCCTCCTGAAATGTATGTTAGGGAAAACACTTTTTATTATTATTATTAAGTAATGTTGGAACATACTAAAGAATGATAAAGTGGATTATGCTGGCACCAAAAATATATCATAACAAATTTCACTCGAATTTATATAAAAATGGCTTCTTCCATGCAATTTTTTTTCTTAAACATTGCAAACACAATTACACAAACTTGTCTGTGCTGATTCTGATGGGAAATTGTCCAGCAGCAGATATTGAATGGAGCACAGAGCACCCACACAGGCACACAACCACAAAACCATGCTTAGACTACACATTTAAATTTTTACACAAAAAGAATGACAAACGATTTAGAGTGGCTCATTTGCAATAAATATGGTCCTTTTATATAAATATACAAATTTAAAGTAATTCAGTTGCACAAACGTTGTAAATATTAGTACTGGACAATATACAGAGGGCGTTTAACTGCATAGCTCTGCTGGCATGTCTAATGCGTTCAGATCTACATTGACACACGTGCACTCTGTGGCATGGATATATAATTACCGGAGCTGATAAGTGACATGCATCTGGTTGCTTTTCCAGTATATTTTAAACGAATGGAAACAACAGTGATGTTTGCGCATGCACGTATCACACACATATACAAAGAGAAAGACCCACCATATAGCGCTTAACAGGCTGTTGGAGCAAGTGCCGTTAGCAAGCACCTATGAAGGCCGGCACGGTACATGAGGGGTTGGGTTGGCCATCACCATGCCCAGCCGCCTTTGTCTCCCCAGTACTGATATTTACACACTGCACCAGGTACTCATTTAAGGCTGAGGCGATGTAGGGGAGGCCCTGGACCCATTCAAATATTCACCACTGTTTTTGGGTGTGCGTGGCATTCAACTCTGGTCACTGGGTTAATAGGGCAGAACGCTAACTACTACACTATCACAATTGATGAAGTTTAAATTGTATTCCCAGTGAATCTTATTTTAGAAAAGAGAAAATATTGAAATCCATCAAAAAAATGTATTTACGTGCAAAGAATATATAAAAATTATAATATAATAGCTAAGGCACATATCCCATGCAGTTTGGTGATTCGATTATAGTTGAAACACAAAGGAACTGCGGTCTAAACATACGTAAGGTTTTTCTATCCATTTGTCTCCACCAAGAATGTGCAAATATATAAATCGCTACATATGTCCTCGACTATAATTTGTGTGTAATGCCAAACAAGGAGCAACACATGTCTGCGAATGATAAGTAGACGGTTGCTATGTAGCTACACATAACACCAAGCCATTCCTGTATGAATCAATTGCGATGCTACATTACAGGGGTCATTTGCAAAACGGTTGTATGAAAGCGTAGCAATTGAATAGTTTGCAGAAGGGATTTCCTAGATCTAACATTAACTGTCCATATTTGGTCACAATTTCAGGAAACCACTGTTCCATCACATGGGCTGTACACAGAGTCCCACCAAGATAGACATGCACACAGTTTGGTGGTGTTCATTCAGACGCTGTCTTTCCGACAGACCTGTTCTTCACCTGAGGACGGCTGCTTGCGTTGTGGCCGAAACGTCGTGAGAATTGTATTTTATTATGTTTTATTTGTATTATTTTATTATTTCCCTTCTACGTGACTTTACTGAAAGAACCAAGAAGATGAATCCCTGCAGTCACGAAAGCTTTAAATCGAAATGCACACAGTTGTTTTTCAACATGAGCATGGGGCCATGAGGAGGACAAGGAGCTCACCTGCATGCTTTTGTTCTGGGATCTGAGCACAAACGGTTTGATGAGCAGCATCCACGGGACACATAAGAGGGCCAGCACCACCAGAAACATCTGCACCTCTTTCTGTAAATGCAGCGCAAACAAATGCCACTTCATGAAGGGGCATGTCCTAGACACGCACGAGTCAGACCCAGAGGGGCAACTGACCCTGCCTTTATTATGCCAAAGTGTGACTTCAGTCAAGCATCCGAATCAGCCAAACGTCTATAATATAGGGATATGTTTTAGTTTGTAGGCTGATAACAGCAATTGTGTGCTCATTCCTACTCTAAATAACCTCTCAGTGTTAATATTCCACAAATGTATGTAATTCTGAATTTCATGCATTAAATAATCAATTTAATTACTCAAATTTGGATAAATAAATACTTAAGCATTAGGCTAGGTGGAACAGTTATACCTTTCTCTACACCCAATATAGTCATTTAACAATTTCACACATTTTTTCACAGTTTACCAATTGATCAGGAACACCAATGATCTGCATAGTTTACCTGTCCATTATACATTGGCACAAACTTCTCGTCATAGGTGAAGAGGAACATGTTGATGAAGTTGATGAGGATGCTGGGTGCATGTTGGGATTCTTTGGCCTGGTACGCAATCCATTTGAAAAAGATTAGCACCACCAGGTATCCAAGCAGCGCGAGAATGAAAATCATTTCAGGAACAAAGTCACATATGATGTTCCATGGCTTCTGGAAATATCTGCAATATACAGATCAACCAACACACATTTCACACGACATTAATTTCAGAACGAAAAATAACAAAGGGGCTTAAGGGACTGCACTGACAACAGCATAAAAGGATAAGCAGAAACCAATCCACCACCAATGTCATCAACAAATCTGGCCTAAAACTAAAATATGCTACATGTAGTAAGTTAAACCTAACATCATTTTACGCGATGTCAGCGGGAATATACCTTCAGCATAGCTTCAGCCAACAAGATAACACAAAACATGATAAATAATGTAGTTTATATTTCCAGGACACCCTCACTGAGTATCAAGACTTTTTCAGGAGTCATCTCTATTTGAATGATGAACTCATGTGTAAAAAGTAATTTTAGAGTACCTGGAGACAAAACCCACGCCTAAAGGCTGTACTGGCATCACCTGGCCACCTCACATGCCAGCGAGTTTGGAAGTTTCACATTTTTTGTGATCCACCGACACCTGCCTCCAAAATGCTGGATCACAGGCATGTGCCACCATGCCCGGTTCTGTGGGTGGACACAGATTCTAACAAATCCAGGACTCGAAATAAGGGACTCACATGTGATTGAAGAGGCTGAGGACTATCCCTGAGACCATGTGGGTGATGCCCACGATCACCGACATCTTCATTTTGTACGGGTTAAGGAAATTGAGCTTGTTGGCGGCCAAGTTCCAAATCTGAATGCAGAGAAAGCCACCGCAATATATGACTTTTTATAGGTACAGTCTCAAATCGATGTGCCAAGCATGGCTCTTGATTATGCAGGTCTTAAGATGCAATTTGATGCATTATACACAGTGCCGTTAAATTGGATGCAGTTGTCAATGATCCCAGATATATCAATTTCACAGTCGATTGCATCTGCACTGTGCCATTCCCTGCCATGTGTGCACATTTGTAGCTAATAATGAGAAGTCGTTTAGGAAGCAGAGACAGGCTTGTGAGATGCCTAGTGACAAGTTGCACGAAATACATCAGAAAAAATTAGGGGAATTAAATTATTTATTCATTTACTGGAAATTAACTCTGACATTAACTGCAATGAGAAAAGACAATAATTGATATTTTAAATCATTGGGATAAGGAGACGCACACTGCATTCGTATTTGCACATTTGAAGTTGACAAAAACATCAAAGTTAACATAGCGATTACTTAAAAGATCATAAGGGGGTTTTTTGAACAGCATATCTGGGAATGTATTATTATTAAAAAAAAACATTTGTCACTGTATTTAATATTAGTGTATAAACATGAAGGGGTTATATATTTAATTGTATTACATAGTCTAGCATGTCATGCCTTGTCGACTCTTAGTTTAAAGCACACTTTACACACCATGCAGTTACTGCCTTCATATATTCACAGTTTCAGAAAAAAAATTGAAAGACTGCCAAGGCAATCATGTGGAGATGTGTTTATAAAAATAGGGATGGTGTGTTATAAATGGAATCCCCCTCCATTATTATTCCACAAAAGGCTGCTGTGGCATACATACATGCATGCATACACATATATTAATATTATTGCTATGGAGTTGACCATATGCCACTTAGGGTTTATCCATTTTCCACACGTGACCAAACCCACCGGATCGATGCCGAAAGGGTAGGGTCCGTTGAAGACTCCTGGCACAACTGGGTCCATCTGCAGCACTGGGTGTGCCTCCAAATCTTCTTTTCTGGATTGGAATACAGTCAAGGCAGATCACATGAAGCAGACTACACAAGTAAGTAACTTTGTTTTGATAACTCCATTCCCAGTGATTGAATTTGGCCATAAGTTCAAATCTGGATAGTTTTTAATAATAAAAGCATCCTTTATTTATGCAGGAAAGCTTTAAATCGATCTCAAGACTCGTTCGGAAAAAAAACCCATATTGGACGTTGGACCCAATGCCCTTTAGAGTATTCTGAGTACAGTATTTGAAAGAGGTGAAAAAATCCCCTCTCACAAGAATTGGATAAAATCCATGCATATGAAAGAACAACACTCACACTCAATACAGATGGGCCAAAAACGGACTTGCTCTACAGCCAACTACTGGCCAACTCATTGCTGCTGCATGATGGGTGTCCACACATATTTATGTATAACAATGCACTACTACATCTGGTGAGTGCAGATACGTGGTATATGAAGTTACATATATAATACAGGGGTTGGGGCATGAGGTTCATGAGATTTGATCCCACAGTAGGAGGGGGTGCCCTTTATATTATGAAGGAAGCATGCTCTGCAGAGGGAGGCATTTAACACAAGAGGAGGCTGCGACTAATCCTCTGACCTCACTGGTGGAGCAAATTTGGGAGTTGCTAATTAGAAAGCATATCGAGTTGGATTTGACAAACATGCGCATGCTACTCGTGCTGTGTGAAGCTAATCGCTCACGTCCATTGACTTGCGTTGAACATGGCGTTGACACTCCAGCTGGAGCCGAAGATGTTTATGGACTTGGAGAAGCAGTCATTGTAGATGAGGCCGGTGTACATGGAGAAAATTCCCATCAGCAGGATGATGTAGCGGCCGCCGAAAAACATAGTCCAGATCTGCGGTGCAAAAAAGACACAGAGAGGGAATATAACTGCTCGCTTCAGTAAGCAGGGGCACACCAGAAGTTTACTTCATAAGGGAAATATTTCAAAGCGAATTAAATATTCCACCACTGTGATAGGCTTAGGTAGGTACTGAACCGAGTGAGGAGAGAAGGTAAGGTGAGATTAAGTTGACAGTTATGTTATCTTGATTTGAAGCTTTCGTGACTGCAGGAATCCATACTATCTGGTTATTTCGGTAAAGTCACGTAGATAGAAAAATAATAATAGAAAACACGATGTTTTGGTCGCAACACAAGCGTCCGTCTTCAGGTGAGAACAATTTTCTGCTGTTGTGGCTTCATATAGGCACGGGAGGTAGGGGGGGGGAGGAGTTTGGCTGTAGGAGTTCACAGGGGAGAGGGGGGAGGGTTTGTGGTGTGCATGGATGGGTGGGGCTGGAGAAATTAGCAAGTAAATGGACTTGAATTAGTAATCGGACAACAAGACACACGGGTTGGTGAGTGAAAATCATAGCAGTTAAAACGTTTCACTCACACAGGCTCGATTCCGCAGACGTGCCAAGCAATATCACGGGAATGCCCCTTTACGCTCCTGAGCGTGACCTCGCTCCCCCTTCGGCCACGCCCACTTCGAGACTTTTCCCGTAGGATCTCGGCTGAGCATCACGCGCCCTCCCGGGTTCACTCAGGCCACCCACCACCAGTACCACGCCCCCTAGGGCTGGCTGACATGCCGTACCCACTCTGGTGCTAGAGAGAGGCTCCAGACGCACAGCTGCATTCCTGTAACAGCAGCTGGGCACGAACACCCTAGTGACACCATTTACGTCACTACATCACCCCCCCCCCCCTTATAAAACTCAGCCGTCCCGGCTGATCCCCATACCTTGCACAGCGGGACGAACCACTGGGGAGCACAACACCAAAAAAAAACATCGAGAGTGGAGCAGCCGTCACCCACTCCTGCTTCTTCCATTTGTTCTTCTTCCCAGGAGAGGCTGCACCCATTGGACCTTCTTCAAGTCCGCCAGTGGAAATGACCCTTCCCCCACCATCTTATTTATCCCTACGCCGTGTATGATGATCCAGCACAAGGGTGCATATGTGTTACTTTATACCAATTCTCACCTCATTATTGATCCTAGAAGCGGAGAGTTTCTTCTCAAAGATGACCAAGTAGAGAGCAAATAATGTCATGATGATGCCATGACCCAAATCCCCAAACATTACAGCAAAAAGGAACGGGAAGGTGATGAGAGTGTAGGGAGCTGCAAAGTCAAATAGCACCATCAAAACAATACACTTCAGTTCATATATCGGGACATTACTTCAAGCTTCACAACAAACGTATAGCATTCAATTCATAAATATCCCATTCGAATGTATGACATATCAATATAAAAATATATAATATAAAGGACACACAAATGCAGCTATTGACGTACAAACGCACCTCCGATTAGCATGGTTGGCGAAAAAAGTTCAATATGCATACATAAATGGTAAACATCGAGACAAACAAACAAAAGCATGTCAAAAGTCATTAAAAAAATGATTCACATGAGCATGCAAAAGTAGCTCTAAACAAGTGTCAAACGTTTTCCACTACTTTCCTGCAGCCCCACGTACCTGGGTTGACCTCCCTGTAGTCACCAACGCCATATGCATCCACGATGTTCTGGAAACCCGAGGTAAACTTGTTGGTGCGGTTGAAGGTTGGTGGATTTTGCTCACTCACCATGCGGTTTAGAATGGAAGGCACAGTAGAGCCACTGCGCTCCTGCCAGCACACAGATCACGGCAATGCCAGTATCAGTGAATCGTAGTCCATCTGACCAGTATTCCATGATAATTTCTATTTTATTTATTACTTGTGTAGTGGGTTCACTTGAGAGACACACAGATTCAGGAGGCAACACGTTAATTCTACGATAAACAAAGGGTTAACTACATAACCAGTAACCACAATGGGATAACTACATAACCAGTAACCACCACAGGGTAACTATATAAACGGGTCAGGTCAGTCGGCACACTGCATGACCCACAATGCCGAGCACGAAGACCGGAGACCGAGGAGAAGACGTAGCACAGCGGGTTCCATTCCAGCAAACAGCCCCGATAAAGCCCTTTTATGCCCCTCAGCGTGGCCCCACTCCGCCCTCGGATACGCACCCTTCTGGAACCTACGAGATGGTTCTGGGTCACCTTCCACGTGTCCCCTGCCTGGCTCCACTCTCGGCCACGCCCCCTTCTGGAACTCATTAGAAGGTTCTGGGCCCTACAACACGCATCCCCTCTGTCACCTTTGGCGTACATCCTCATTTTGCCCTATCACGTGCCCTTGCCAGCAAATCGGGCTCCTACATCCTCAAATGCCTTCTACTCTGCCAGTCCCCAGAACCATGCTCCCCTAGAGATCTCTTCCATGACATCGTGTACTCTGCTGGCAGAGTGTAAAAGAGCAGAAGTGTAAATGCAAGTGTGTATTGTAAAAGTGTTTCTAGTCAAGGAAAATGAATGTGTTAAGGAAGATGCAGAGCATAACATTTTTTTTAATATTTAATAAAGATGTGAATATTGTTAGAGAAGGTGGAACATCGTATGCAAGGGCTTTAGTGGCCATGGAGGTGAGGGTTTTGGGATCTGGTGGCGGAGGAGGGAAAATCGTATCGGCTGCAGGGAGTTCGTTTAGAGACAGACAAGAGATGAGACACGCTCAGAAAGCAACATTTGAGTAGGATCTCAACATAAAAATGAAGCGGTGTACACTGACATAGGAAAGGAATGCTAAAATGGAAATAAAGTGGGAAATTACGACGAGAATAATTTACATTCAATATTACACAAAGAGCAGAGGAAGGCATTATCAATCTTGGGTTTAGATTAAGAAGCCAACAGAGATTGCAAGATCGTTATCACTGTAAGGTCGTGGAAATTATTTGTTTGTATGTGGGAAATATAACATGGTTTATTCATGAAAAAGAACTATCATTAGATTTATACAAAAAATACATTCATGTTTGATTCATATTAGACTGAATATATTCACACTGCCATTATCATATACACTGAGAGAGGAAGAGCCATTACTTGATTCCTTACAAACACAAAATAGCATTGTTTATGTTGGTAGATGCATAAATTAGCAACATCTTCATAGTCTGGGGATGATCGCAAGTCTGCACCGATGCAAGGATACAGACAATTGCTGGAGTTGTTTTTGTTTAACATACGTTTAAAACTTGTGCTGATATCGGAATGTATGACAATGGAGTCAGCAGCAAAGGCTACTGAGCTGCCTTGCCTATTAGGCCAATAACGGTCACACCTCACTCACCTACAGGATAGTGGTGGTGGTGTAAATAGTAAAGTGAATTGAGGGGGGGGGGGGCATTTTTAAATAAAAACTCCTGCAATAAAGTTTCATGAGAAAAAACATGATCTCCCTCGGTGCCTAAAGAAAACTCAATGCACATTACACTAACATTTGGATGTATATGGCATCTTTAGACGCTGTACACAAACAGTGAGCATATTTAATATGTAGAGAAAGGCAGCCAGTCTTGAACTTTAACACGTCCACGAAGGAAGTCAACAGCACAAATGATTGGAAATATATAATTTATGAGCATTGGGGCAGCACAGGAGAATGAGCGACCTCCCACTGAGTGAAGATTGATGGATTGTTTCGACAACGCCTTGTGGGCTGGAGTGGAAAGTGCATGGAGGGAAGTATAATGTGATGGGATGGGGGTAGGTAGCAGCGAGTCCATGATGATCGTGATCTTGATTATCAGGGTGATGTGGTCTCATTTATGGTTGCAGATGAGATTTCTCGTTTGCAAATGAGCGATTTTGGCATACGTCTTAGAGGCGAATTTCTAAAGCCAAATCAGGATGTAATGAAGCCATGGATGAGGGCCTAACTAGCAGCTGGGATAAGGAAATAATGGATGTGAAACATATTGCGCAGATGTAGGTATGATGTCCTTCCGAGTTTAGATATGTGGGAAGTAAACAATAGCTCAGAATGGATGATGACTCAAATATTTAGCACACTCAGACATGACTCTTTCCTTTTTCCAGTAAAAAGAGCTTCAGTTTTGGCACAATTTCTCTAGAACATGTTGAACGTGTTTTGCACCAAACGTAGCCAGCCATGCTATTCAGAGGTGTGTCAGAAGGACACCGAACTAAACACGAAAAAAGCAGTTTTAAAGAAGCGAGTTTTCAATTTATATTTAAAATCAGAAGGAAGAGTGTTCCAGCGTGCGATGCAGTGACTGTCTTTGTTTAATGTTTAGCCAAAAGCCGCTGCGAGGATGACCGGAGTTTGCATTATGGATTATGCTACTTGATGAGATCAGGAAGGCACGGTGGTTCATTTGTGGCGGGAACTGTTTGTAATTTAATTTTTCAATTTTTTCATTTTCATTTATTAGGTATAGCCCTGTGAGCCATTCGGCTCTTGAATCGGGTGCAACCGCAACAAACAAAAAAACAAAAACATGAACAAGAAAACATCTTAAAGTGACTATGTGCAAACAGAAAATACAAGAAAAGACAGCAAAATATTGCAGAAAAAGCGCCGTACACCAACACTGTGTGCAAAAATCCCAGTGGGATGCAAGTCAAACAGCAACAGCCACAAGACAACTTAGATTATGGCCATCAGTCTAACTCTGTACTACAACAAGCAAACATGGCCAAACCGAAAAACTTTTCAAAAATCACCTAAATAAAGCGATAAAAGCAATGAAACAGTGATCATAGGAACTGTGACCGAATTTTCACAATAAACGACGTAAACAACATGCATTACCAAACTCTGCAGCCATGTAATGAGCACGACCTCAGTGCAGTGGAGTCTGTAGACTTTATCAGGAGGGTCCTGTTCAATTTTCATAGTCGTGAGGGGTGGTGATGTTGTTATGTGTTATCCTAATTGAGTAAATTGCCAATATTTTTTTTACATTGGCCATTCCCAGTTGCGTTGCATGTTTTTTCATTTGAAAGATTATTGTTGCAGCTCAATCTTCAGTATTAAATAAGAGTACACATAGTTGATGCACATTCGTCTTGGTGCCGAGGGAAAGACATCATCAATCATCTTTAGCGTGAATTAAGATTATCAGTGAGGTCTGATTAATTATAATGAACACATTAAATTCAGCTTTAGATGCAATGGAATAATTAGTAACGCAAGTTTTAAATAAAACACCTTTGAAGTATCATAATTCCCTTGCCTCAACAATAATGTAGTGGAATGACTTGTAAACAATTAAACATGGTTAATAGTTGTAGTAAAGTGGGCTTGTATGAAAAAAACTTACCGTCACTGCGTTAAATTGCTATGTGACAATGCATTATTTTGGTTTCATAGTTTTCCAATTACCTTCCTGTATTTAATATGATTACATTTAACACTACAATAATGTACAAAAGCCAGTATTTAATCATGTACAAGCGATGCTACAATGAAAATAGAATGATGTGATGTCACAGTGCACACAGCACAATGTATTGCATGTTGTGACATCAGCGAAAAATAGCATACGATGTAACTGGTATTGACCAAACATCCAAACGTAATAAATTATCTGCAAATAACTCAAATGGGCATACTCATAGCCACATCACCACCCCACCCCTACTGGGAAAACTTCACTAAACACTCATGAAAAAGAGATTTGAGGCTTGTATTGGTCAACAAGCTTACATAAATAAATACCATGGTGTAGAGAACATGCTGTGATACAGCCATGTAGCACGGCCTTGTTGAACGGGGATTTGAGGGGGCTTGAAAAAAAATCAGTGGGAACACGACACAGTCTAAATTAAACAACTGTTAAATGCTAAGCAGAATGAAGACGAATGCAATCTGCTGGTGTCTGTCATTCGTACGTCTTGAGCTCTCACTCTCCCCATGTACATGAAATATTGCAACGGCCATGGCTTAAATGGCAGGTACCGTGTTTTGACTCGACAGGTAGAGTTTAAAAGGGGAGCTGAATGCTTCAGCCTCCCTCCAGTCTCCCCCACCCCTTCATTACTGCATGGCTGATGCAACGTGCTGCAGCCTGCCTGGCCGCAGCCTTCACCTTTACATACGATTACCACCTCAAGCTGATGTATGCAATTGGGCTTTACTTGACAACAAAGTGCATGAACGTTTGGGAGATGAATAGAGATGCAAGCGATTCGTTTCAATTCTTAATCTGTGTTTAAACAAAGATAATCAAGGGCGTTCCTGTGGTTAAGGTTTGATTTGCTACTGGAATGTGACATGGGAGCCCTTTTTCCAGCAGTGGATTGTCAAAGGTGCTGTAGAAATTGAAAGTATCACTGATGTAATATTTAGATGCTTGTATAAATTGGTTACCAATAATTAACGTATACATTTCAGGGATATTTATATTTCCATTCCTGTCAAAATGAACAAAATTTCAACTAGTGTACTGTGAGTATTTCACAATTGGCTTTTCTAAAATAATCCCAGCATGTTGTAACTGTTAACCTAATTCTTCCTCATCCTTATGTCACACATTGACTACAGATATGTAAATACATTCCTTGAAGTTCGACACAGGGATGTTCCACCCCTGTGCTGTAGTAAATTAGCAGCTGAAACCATTTTTACAAGTTTAGGTGTCACACTGGTCGATGACATATCATTTAAAACAATGTCATGGTTTCACTTTGGCATACAAATTGTCAAGCAGCACTCTTGATGTATTTCATAATTTTCTCACAGTACATTACAGATGACTCAGGTCA